ATGACCACGCACTCAAAACAAAAAAAAATGTGTTGTCTCTACAACAGTCCTTTTGTCTGCAGCTTGATTCATCGCTCTGTGGCGCAAACACTTCACTTCTAATTTCCCAGTGGTCACTGATCAAAGAATAAATATGAGATTCAAAGCAGCAAGAATGATTCTATTAGATGATCATAAATTAGATGCCACTAAAACTCAGACCCTGTACGTTTACTGCAATCTGAGCAGTGGAACTGCAATCTCTTCCGACATCACCAATTGGTTGCTTAGTGGGGGGTCCCAGAATGGATCATAGACTAGCATAACCCCTGCAATCATGCAAGATTAAAGAAAATGCCAGGTTCGCTCCCCAGCAATAGACTGGATTTTCATGAATGTGGTGAAATGTGGTAAACCCATCTGGTTGGTGGTATACCTACCCCTCTGAAAAATCATGGAGTTCGTCAGTTGGGATGATGACTTTCCCAATATGATGGGAAAGTCATAAAATTCATATTCCAAAGCACCAACCAGTGATTATTAACCATTATTAACCATTATTAACCATTATTAACCATTATTAACCATCATTAATGTTCCAAACCACCAACCAGCAACTATAGTCAACTATGACTATAACTAATGATTCACCAGGTTTCACCGCCATTCACCACCAACCAGCCATTTTATTCACCATCACAAGTACCACGGTATCATGGCATCAACCCTTCAAAGTTGGAGGTTTATGGTAGCTGCACCGGCTGCACCTCAGTTTTTCGCGCGATTTCTCGTTGTTCCGATGGGAGTGGTAGCTGCTCTTGATCTGCACCTGCGGAAGAACGAGTTCTGCACCATAACTTGGCGTTACCCGGAGGTTGAAATCGAACATATATACACAATCTTAAATCCAAAGAATTCCATGAAAATCCCGGGAACTTTACAACTACATGTGGTGGATTTTCCATGTCTTGAGTCACTGGAGGGTGTAACTACCCATAATTAGTTCACTTAAACCCAAGTACAAACTTCAGAATTATCCTGTCACTGTGGTACGTACATTCCGGTAATGTTCTTCGGACCAACATTTCTTTTGCCCAAATAGTCAAACCTAGTGTGCGAGGAAAAACAAACACAAACCTTAGAGTTTGATATATATATATATATACATATGTGCAAGCTACTACAACAATTCAGCAACCTGAAATTAGGTCCATTGCCCATTGCTGTCATTCCTTACGCAAAGCACAAAACGGAAGGTCTATAAGGTCGTGAACTGTAGATTCCCGAATCCTGGGGGGTCCAAAAAACTACCTGATGGCCGGTACTCAACCAGGGGCTTCGATTGCTACAGGGGGAAGGGACTATCTAAGCTGGGCATGAAAAAACCCTCTAGTTTGGTTAATTAGTAAAACTTGCATGATATAGATATACAAAAATATATATATATAAAGATAGTTTTAGATATATGAGATACAACATATTACAACATATACACACATATAAATAAAATAATATATATATATAATTAAAAATACATAAATAATATATATATATATATACCAGTAGTACCGCACAAGGTGGTGGCGGAAGTTTCAAAAATAGCAAACCTATAGGAGAGGTTGGTTGTTGTGAATCAGGGATGGCAGAGCGAAGCCACTGATGGACCGAAAGGTGGTTGAGGTCTCCTCTCTTTCTCTCTCTTTCTCTGACTATCTACCTACCTACCTACCTATCTATGTATCTATCTGTCTATCGATCTATTTCTCTCTTTCTTTCTTTCTTTCATCTAATTGCCTACCTCTCTCTCTCCCTCTCTCTCTCTCTCTCTCTCCCTCTCTTTCTTTCATCTATCTATCTATCTATCTATCTATCGATCTATCGGTCTATCGATCTATCGATCTATCGATCTATCTACCAGTTTATCTATCTATCTATCTATCTATCCATCTATCTATCTACCTATCGATATATCTATCTATCTATCGATCGATCTATCTATCTATCTATCTATCCATCTATCCATCTATCTATCTTTATATCTATCTATCTATCTATCTATCTATCTATCTATCTATCTATCTATCTATCTATCTATCTATCTATCCGTCTACGTATCTATTTATCTATCCATCTATCTATCTATCTTTCTTTCTGCCTATCTATCTATCTATCTATCCATCTATCCATCTATCCATCTATCTATCCATCTATCCATCTATCCATCCACCTATCTATCTATCTATCTATCTGTCGATCTATCTATCGATCTATCTATCTATCTATCTGTCTATCGATCTAGCTGTCTATCTATCTATCGATCTATCTATCTATCTATCTGTCTATCGATCTAGCTGTCTCTCTATCTATCTGTCTATCTGTCTATCTCTGTATCTATGTGTCTGTCTGTCTATCTATCCCCCTGTCTATCTGCAAGCTTGAAAACGAAGCACTTCTGCGAGACTTCCTCATTTTTCGACATTGACAACAGCAAATACGAAACAATTCTACGAGATGTCTGCAGTTTTTGAACTTGACAACCTCCAAAACGAAGCAATTCTGCGAGACTTCTTCAAGTTTTGAACTTGACAACATCAAAAACAAAGCAATTCTGCGAGACTTCCTTGAAAAATGGAAAGTAAAGTGCAGCGCTGACAGCCTCGTACCAATGCGTTTTGCGATTCTTCCTCTCCACCTATCTAAAGTACTGCGCCTGCCACGAAAAATTGATGCCAGGTCATGCGAAGTGCTGCACCTGTCATGCAAAATCATCTTAGCAAACCTACAGATCTGATGCTCCAAAATGCAACCCCTCCCAGGAAATCAGCGCCCTGACCTCCTAACATCTCTCATGAACATGTCGTTTGTACTGCGCCTGCCACGCAACATGCATCTTTGCAGATCCTCTTCAAATGTCCCACGCCTGCCATCGTTTTTGGAAATTCGACAAAACCCTCATGTTTTTAACATTTTGACTTCGAAATGTGCTTCTCGCCACAACGGCGTGCATTTTTTCGACATCGCAACTTCCAAAAGTGGTCCGAGCCTGGTGTGTTTTGTACATTTTGACTTCGAAATGTGCTTCGCGCCACAACGGCGTGCGCTTTTTCGACATTGCAACTTCCAAAAGTGGTCCGAAGCTGAGGTGTTTTGTACATTTTGAATCATTTTGACTTGGAAATGTGCTTCGCGCCACAACGGCGTGCAATTTTTCATCTCTCATCTGGCCAGCTGGCTCCGCACCCGCCGCTTTAGCGAGCCTTCTTTTCGACCCTCCAGAGCCTCAAATCATTGGAAAAACACAGTTTTTTGCGACTTTCCTACCTTTTCGCGCATCTGCATCTTCTTTCTTCTGACTCTTTCTCTTCTACTCTTCTCTCTTCTAATCTTTTCCCTTCTCTCTGCCTCTGCCCTGCTCTGCTTTTCATCTGTCCCTGTCCATCTTGTCGGAAGTTTGACTTCAAAACTTCCTTCGATTATACCCGTTATGTTCGCTTCTCTGATTGGACTTAGTTGTCATCCCCCAGCTAACATAGCCCTAGCTTCGAAAGTAGTCTTCCCCCATGGGCATCCGGCCATCTTCCAAGTCATCGATTCCCCAAGTGGTAGACGAACCACGAAAATAAACAGAAGCAAATCTATCCCATAGTTAAATATCTCATATATTCACATACAGTAAATATTATAGTTCCATAGATATCCCATATATAATGACCGTGTTTATTCATCATCTGCAGTTGGTTGATAACTCCAATTTCACTATGGTTGATGGTAGATCTATCTATACTTACTATGGTTTATAAACCAACAAACATCACTAGGGGGCATGGATTTCTCATCGCACCTGCGGCACCAAGCGTAATGGTTCCGAACTGCCCAGGTCAGGGGCCTTGCGGCAAGAACGGGATCTGGAGGAAGTAGGTTAAAAAAGGACATCAGAAGGGAAACACGAATAAAAGTCAACATCATGATGTTGGCTTATATGGGATTTTGTATGGATTTTGTCTGGATTTAACATGATTTAACAAGAAAGAGGAAGTCAACCTAAACGAAAAACAGGTTGTAAGCAAGAAAAACGGGGATTGGGCAAACCAGGAGGATTTGATCAACTAGTAAGCACAACATATTGTTGCACAAACACCCATGAGGATGTTATCGAGAGCAATTCTTTTTCAACAAGAAAAGGATTGACATGGAGGTTTCCTGAAATGGGAGGGTATCCCCAAATCATCCAAAATCAGACCAAAATTAGAATTATAAACCCGGTTTTTTTTGGGGATCCCCCCATTTAAAGAAATTCCTACATGGATTGGGCCAGCTTACAAAGGCATGTTGTAAGAACAACAATGGGCATGCAACCAGCCAAGATAGGTGGGCATCCAATATCATAATTTCTCAATGCTGCGTTACATTCCCAGAGGGTAACATCTTGGCAGACTTTAGTAATTAACTGAATAACCCCTTCCCGAAATATGAAATACCACCCAAAAAACAACTGATTTCATACTAAATCTATTCATCCTGAAATGGGGTCCCCTTGTTGCAAGGTGTCTCAATGCTCGAACCATGGGATTAACCATACAACCATGACCAAGCCATGTTGCAAGGTGCTGCCCCAGATTATAAGTTGGTGAAAATGTTCATCTCATTCCATAACTATACGATACTTAAAGAATGTAAGTTATAATTGTTGTTATACTATACCATACCATATACCTTACGATACTATGCCACACCATACGATACTATACTACTATAGTTATATATATATAGTAAATTATACCAATATATATATATATATATACACTATACAGTACTACAAAATACTATGAGTTATGCATAAACCCAACAAATCCCAACAGTTGAACAATTGTGAGTCGTAAACCCACTTCGCTAACGACCTCGGGGGTTCCTAAGCCAGGCCTCCTGCCCCGGCACAGCTGCAACCTGCGACATGGCCAGGTGGTGAAATGGCGCTGGCGTGGGTGACCCGGTGTGTTAGACTTTCCTCTCGTACTATCCAATATATATATATATAATTATACAGTATGTAATGTACATTTTGCATCGATTGCTTTCTTATTGTATATTAATTCTATTCTGTATAGTTCTGTATATTGTAAAAACATTAATAAAATAAACATCTTGGATCAACCCAGGTGTTTTAGACAAACAACAACAACTGCATTTGTCTCATAATGGTTCTCCCTTTGGATTTGTGGGGCCCCAAAATGCACCTTCCCAGTCTCTGCCTGGGCTCAAAATGGCGATGGGCTAGCCCAGGAAAAGCCCGTTCTTGCAGACAGATTCTCGTACTTTATCGTCTGTTTTCGCAGGCCATTGTCCCAAAATTAAATTATCACAAAGCTACAAATACTGGAGCAAATTGTATCTAAAAGTCTAACGGAATGGCTGGGAACCGCCATTTTTAGTGCCGTGAAACCAGTCATAGCGATCAAAATGATGCCGAACTTGAAGGTGTTTCCTGGTGGTTTTCATTGATATGTCATAGATATTTCATTCATAGTTCATAGATATTTAATAGATATTTAATAGCTGGTTGGTGCTTTCAACCCCTCTGAAAAATATGAGTTCGTCAGTTGGGATGATTATATTAATTATTCCCTTAACTGAATGGAAAGTCAATCCAAATTCCATGGTTTCAAACCACCAACCAGATATATTGTTATTCCAATTATTCACCATTATTAACCATAGATTAACCATATAGATTCACCAGGAAAATTCCATGGTTTCAAAGCACCAACCAGATAGACAGCAACTATAGTCAACTATAACTAATGATTCACCAGGTTTCACCGCCATTTCATAGACATTTTATGGTATTTCATGGATATTTCATAGACATTTCCATGGTTTTCCCCGTAGGTTTCCCGTAGGTTTCCCGCCACCGTTCCACCTTGACGTCCAGCTCCTCCGCCAAGCCGCGGATCTCGGACTTCAGCTCGCTGGGCCTCGGAAAATTTCGAATGGGAATTAATGAGAGTTAAATGAGAATTATAGAATACCTATAGAATCTCTGTTTTATATATATAATTACTTATTTATTTATTTATAGATTTATTTATAGATATCTATAGGCATAATTAGAATTATAGATATCCGATAGTGTATAATGGAATGGAATGAGAGTCAGACTTCCAGTTCTTTATAAGAAAACCACGTAGAATTTTGGAGCCATGTTGTTTCTGGGTAAAATGACATAGGGGTATAGAAGTGATAGAATAATATTGGAATATAGGCAATCATAGCCATTCAAAAAGGTGTTCAGAGAATATACTGTATGATAATGATAATGCAATATTGCAATATATATATATCATTTGAACGACTATCACTATGACACATAGTGCAACAATATACACACTTAGTCAAATTATCACAACAATATGGGGAACTCATGTGGAAAGCAAATGAGCATGATCTACAAACTGTGGTTTGTCCATATCTGTGTGAAGTTCCTAGAGGATACGGTAATACGCCATACATTGACTGCATGACACATTATATTATATATACTGTATATAATGTTTATGTGTATATGTATTATATGTATACGAAATGTATCTGTATGCATACGTGTACAATCAATGTGCTTCACTTCGCTTGAATCAATCCATCATATGAATCAACAATATATGGGTATATAATATATATAATATTATATAATCATATAATCATATGTAAGAACACAGCACACCATATCACAGAATATAAGAACTCCATAGAACTCCCAATCCTGATGGGTGTCTGCAGTGGTCACATCGTCCAAGTGGATGCAGAGAAGCCATGGTTGACCGATGACCGATGACCGATGATGGTATCTTCAGTGTTTTGAACCCCTCAAACATATTACTGGTTGGTGGTTTCAAGCATCTTCAAACATATTAAAGTCAGTTGGGAAGGATTATCCCATATATTATGGAAAATAAAAAATGTTCCAAACCACCAATCAGATAACAATGAATACATTTCTTGAGTAGGATACGCAACATATTCCTCTATATCTTGCGATATGTCAAGCCATATCCGATCAACACCAACCAAACGCAGGTCTACCCCGTGATGACGGCTAGTTCCTTGTGATAGAAATGGTTATGCTTCATGATTGGGATAGAAGTGAATTTCTTGAGACATCTTGAAAGTTAGAGTGGGATTTCCAGCAACAATCCAATGGTGAATTTGGCGTATGTGGACCCAAAAAAGGAGATGTAAAATCACAAACAATCGGATGCTCATCAAGTTTCATGGGACAAAGCAGCCAAACCAAAAATGAGTTACAACAATTCACTAAGCTGAAAAGAAGGGTATTTTTTTTGAATAGTTACAGTACCCCTTTGACATTCACCATCATTCCGACGTGACGTCGCGACGAAAAAACGGCAGGCAATGGCCTCAACTATCTTGGGCCGGGCTAGCCATCCCCACTGACTCACCAGAAATGGTGTATGTTGATCAAACTTGGAGTGGTCTTGGGACCCTTGGGTTTGCTATGTGCATTGATGACATGGGGATTGCGACCATATTTGTCTGCTCAAGTGGCTACTCCATGCTACTCCTAGTCTCAAAAACCCTACAACATAACACCTGTTGAAGTTTATGTCAAAGAACAAATAGTTTTGCCTACATCAATTGGTTCAACATTCTTCAAATTTCTTCAACCATATGTTCAAGTTTAATTTCCATGTTTTGTTGCAAAACCCTTGGTCTACGCCTCTCCATTTTAGATGGTGACATCATGTCATGTACCCCCTTTAAACATCTTACATCTTTAAGCGACCAGCAAAAATTGCCCAGCCACAACTTCACAGGAGCAAAGACCGCCATGGTTCTTCGGGTTCATCAAACTGCAAGTATATCCTACATCTGGATCTATTTGGATCTACGGCAAGCCAAGTATATAACAGTGTAAAATGTGTATGTATGTATATATATATACACATATGCGGATTGTATAAACAATTATAGTACTTGAAAATGGATGGTACATTATATTGAAGTACAGGATTATTCATGTTCATGTGAATGATATAGGTGTAAACAATACCAATGTTGATCAATGTTGCTTCAAACAACTTCAATTTTGGGGAGCGTCATGGATGAAAATGGGCAGACATTCTGTAGATGTCTATTCAGGAATGTATACAAGTCTAAGTCAAATCGTTTCATGTTTACATACATAGAAATTCGCACTGGCACGATGGCACTTCTTGATTCACATCAAAAAGGCCAAAGGGACAAATGATTCTCTCTGAAGGATAGCTGGCATTCACAATTCACATAAAGCCTCATCTTATCATCTTTTCTATACATACTAGTACTGTCCCTTGAGCCAAGCAGCAATCGTATTGTCGATGCCAGCTAGGCCCTAGGCCTTTTCCAAACCTGACTCTAAATTTCAGTTTTTCTGAACATCAGGACCTTCGATATCAATTTTGCAAAGAACAGCAAATTGTGCCCTTGGCCACATTTGCCCAGATATTATAAATTCAAACCAAAGGAGTCTGCTATGAATTCACATGCAGATCTATCTACGCATTACCTAGCCAAATGCCTGCAACAACATGTCTGCCGGATGGTTTGTGGGATCCTTCATTTGGACTCCTGCCCGGTTTAAGAATTCTGAGCCAAAGCCATGTGTAACATAATGTACTACTATGTAGAGATGGAGAATCATGAATGGTAAAAAAACACTGGTGCCTTCCTGAGACATCATGCTGGCGTGCATTTTTTTCATCCCACGTCCGCGCGACTGGATGCTGATGCGGCTGAGCGTTTCTGCCTTAGGCAGAAGGAGTACACATGATGCTGGGCCATCAACCATTATCCAACCATTCAAACATGGATTTCGTCTGAAATGGGAACCCTTCCAAACATGTCCTCATTGTGATGATTTGTTGTTCTCTATGACTTTCAAAAGCCAGTGGATTGTTGGGTACAGTGTGCCATATTTTTGGACGAACCATTTTTTGTGACTGGTAAGTAAGTATGTCGGTATACCTCACTATCAAGGATTTGGTCATTGGTACGTTGTTTACCATCGCCGTTTAGCTACCTTGACGGCCGGACGACCGATCCAACTATTTATAATATGTTGGAAAGTGGTCCACACATGCTACCATGCTATTGATGCATTTCATTGCATTTCAATCATATAGAAAAGTATCTACATAATGGCTACCATTTGAGTAAACACTAGTATACAGTAACCCTTCAATAGTGGCTATATACACAGTATGCCACGTTTTTTACTTCAATTTCGACAGTCTCCACAAACAACTGTCAACTGGTTGCAATTAAGCCATCCATGCCCCAAGATTGGAGAGACCATTGCCATCATCATCCCACTTGTAGGGACGGACATTTGGTGTATATGTATGTATGTAATAAAATAATGATAGTAATCATGATTAGTGTTGTTTAATCTCATGACTATTATCATTACTATCATTCTTACTATATATGTATATGTATATGTATACATATCATTATATCATTATATATATATACATAGTGATGTATATATATATATATATATACACATGTGGTATATATATATATATATATAATATGTATATAATAAATATAGATATATATACATATCCATGTACACACACACACCAAACAAAAAATGTGTCTGTCTGTCTGTATGAATGTATGTATGGATGTATGCATGTATGCATGTATGATGTATGTACGAGTATGTGTGTCTGTATGACTGCATGTCTGTATGTCTGTATACTTGCATGTCTGCATGTCTGTATGTCCATATGTCTGTATGTCTGTATGTGTGTATGTGTGTGTAGGTGTGTAGGTGTGTATGTGTCAGCATACACGTGAGCAAACTACCAGAACATCTCAAACTACCAGAACATCTCCTCATTTCTGAGTGGTTGTATCCCCACAATTGCATATGATTTACTAGTCATCGGACCCATTTGTGAATACCAAACCTTAGCAAGGATGAAGTGATGTTTCGACTAGCCCCCCAGATCAAAGTGGATCTGGATAAATTGCAATAATTCACAAACCTGAAAGAAGGGAATTTTGGGGATGATTCCCTTTATATTCACTGGCATTCCATGGACGTCGCAACGCGGATATAACAGTAATTATACATTATACCCAACGAATTGCTCTTTGGGTCTGAAACTCGATTTAGCCAAAATTTGGATCAAATTTGGACATTGCCCCACCCCAACCGGACCGCTCCAACCTTCGTGAAATCTTGGTCCCGGACCCACGCTTTCCTTTGCCCTTTGCTGGCGCCTCCAAACAAAATCATCCATTGAAGTCTTTGACGATTTGCCATTTCACTCAATTGTATGTGGGTTTGTCCGAACATATGGTCATATGGTCATATGGTGTGTAAAGTTGTACAATTTGTTGTTGTGGGGAAAATGATTGTCTCAACCTGCAACAAATTTAAGGCAGAACCAAATATTTCGGTGGGATTTCACATCATTCTGCAACACATATCGTGGTATTCACAATCTCTGCAATTGGAATCGGTGAACATAAACCTAAGTAAAGAACTTCCAACCATTAAGTGAAGCAAACACATGATTAGATCCAATCATTACTCATTGTTGTTTCTGCCAAACAAAACAACTTTTTGTTTGGGTAATGGAATTAATTATCCAAAAGCCAAGTTCCCTTTCTCCATTCTATGCGGCTCAGAAATATAATCCCAAAGGACCACAGATAGATAGATAGGTAAGTAGGTAGATAGGCAGATAGGCAGATAAACAGACACATAGATAGATTGGATTGGATTTGATTCGATTAGATTGGATTGAACTGGATTAGATTGATTTGGGTTGGATTGGATTATATAGATAGATTAGTTAGATAGTTCGATGCATAGATAGACAGAAACCATATTGAAGAAGTCTAGACAAAAGTACTGTAGCTGGACACACACACATGTATACATGTATATTGATTGATTGATTGATTGACTGATTTATTGATAGGAATATGGATACACCATAGATTCTATTGTCTATTGGTTTTATCATATTTTTGATATTTATATGATAAAATGAACATACATTAAATTTGACAACCTAACATGAAGTCATGTTGTGCAAATATCTAACATCAAATGCATTACATAGTCCAAATAAGTGTTTACATTGGAAAATAAAATTTCATTTGATCTAAAGTATAGATTAGATATCTAAGATATCTATACTAGATCCATCAAGAATCTTCAAGCCTATTCATTAAACTTAGGTATTCCCGGTATTCCCGGTATTCCCTACACATTTCTCAGATCTTCCTAGTTTCATAGACCCGATGCGAAAACAAAGCACGCTAAGCACGCCTGTGCGGGCCCCTGGAAGGTGGCCGTGTCCTCTGGAGGCTCGAGCCTCATTTTTGCGGTTGCGAGTTCTACACAGATTTGTTTAACTTCATGATGTGAGCCATGGTCAATACTCACTATATGGTTGATGGTCATCCCATCCATAATAAGGATCCTTACAATGGTTAATATAAATCCCTATGAACCAACAACGCCCCCAATACCCTCTGGTAATTTAACGTAGCTATTGAAAATGGCCATTTAAAGTGGATTTTCCCATGAAACATGGTGATTTTCCATAGCTATGTTAAATTACCAGAGGGTAACATTGATGTTTATTTCTTGACACTTTAACCATGGTTAACCATTTATATATGTTTATAATGTTTATAATCATTACTATGATGGTTGTTGAACAAATGAATACTATTATGATGTGCATTTTATGATATGACTCATAAGCAGCAAGTGTTTGTTTTTGGATAAATAGTTATTATTGAAAATAAGAATGGCTCCATTTTAATCATTTATGAATGATATACCTTTTATAACAACTACTGGCATGCGTATAGCTGTTAATTTTGCGGTCAATCAATATATCGCTATTTCTACTGGAATAAATGCTTGGTGGTTGTAGCAACGATAACTACAGCTATTTCAATTATTTATAGTAAGTGATTATAAAAATGGTTTGTTTGCAGCAATTCAAATCGTGGATTTTTGGCGGACGCATTTCAATAGTTCGTAGCAACCCAATACTAATAACAAACCAATGCAAAAACAATGAAAATAGAGGTCTGTAACATTTTTTGGGTAAATAAACTGGCGAGATATATATATATATATATATATACGCGAGGGGCCTCAGATTCTCCGATACCCTCAGCTGTGTTTGAGCTTGAAGATGTAAAAAAACAGCTGGCGCCTAGGTAATTTGCCAATTTTTCAATGGTGGCAACGTCCTTTTCAACATCATGTTAAACGGATCATTTTTTTTTTCGTCCGTTTTAAAGCAGAGTCATCTTGTGCCATACATTATGTTCTCAGAAGTCAGAAATCGCATTTTTTGGTGTAAAATGGTGAATTTTCATTGTATAGTCATATCGTGGTCATGTAAAATTGAGCAAATGTACTGTGTTTTCTCAGGCATTTTGCGTCATGCTCATTTTGTACTGGTATTTGCAATGAATTGGCAATGCGTAGAAAATTGCAAGTGCTGACAGTCAGGCGTTTTTTCTGTGTTTTCATTCTATATACTATAGTGTGAACACTTTTTTTTTGTCAGGAGCTTGCACGCAACAACGGTGTAACTTTTTGTCAATACAACAATGTCTATAGACATCAATAGATATATATATATATATGTACATATCTATATCTATATATATATTTATTTACAAATATACCCGAGAGGCCGCATCAACGTAGCCGCAACGTAACATGAACATGACGCTACCATGCCCCACCCCACCCCACCCCTCCCATGAACGTAGCAGCAACGTAACATGACGCTACCATGCCCCACCCCACCCCCCCCCTCCCATGAACGTAGCAGCAACGTAACATGACGCTACCATGCCCCACCCCACCCCACCCCTCCCATGAACGTAGCAGCAACGTAACATGACGCTACCATGCCCCACCCCACCCCCCCCCCCCCATGAACGTAGCAGCAACGTAACATGACGCTACCATGCCCCACCCCACCCCACCCCTCCCATGAACGTAGCAGCAACGTAACATGACGCTACCATGCCCCACCCCACCCCCCCCCTCCCATGAACGTAGCAGCAACGTAACATGACGCTACCATGCCCCACCCCACCCCACCCCTCCCATGAACGTAGCAGCAACGTAACATGACGCTACCATGCCCCACCCCACCCCACCCCTCCCATGAACGTAGCAGCAACGTAACATGACGCTACCATGCCCCACCCCACCCCACCCCTCCCATGAACGTAGCAGCAACGTAACATGACGCTACCATGCCCCACCCCACCCCACCCAACCCCACCGCTTCTCCATCGGAGAACCTGGGGCCCCTCGGGTATATATATATATTATATATACTGGGGATAGTTCATCGAGATGGATTCGGATACCATTGGTAGGGTGGATGTACAACCAACCGTTCCTTCGGGATAAAAGCATAATACGGGGATTCAACCTGCCATACTTAGGGTTAAACCACCATCTAAAACCCAACATGGACATGGATCTAGACATGGACACAACACTGATGGCTATATCCAAATCCAGATGCTGAATGTGTTTCTTAATTCAATTATATCAGCTATACACCCATGTTTGCCTCCATCAAGGCTTGTCAAAGAATATATCAATATATTCAAAAATCCTATGAATAACCCATAAATACTCCGTGATTTCATATGATTTCCCCATGGGGTAGCGCCCAAAAAATGGACGCTAAACGGCCCAGTCACATGTTGCGAGCCACAAAGGCATCGATCTTCTCTTCCAGCCACTTGTCTAAGCCCTGCCAAGGCTGAAGGGTCCGGAAAAAAATGGCACCTGTGATGTGGGTAAAACAAAACTGGCACTGGCTAGATTGATGAAAAACTAGGTATATAGTGTTTTTTTTCCGATGATTAACATTTAAAAAACACATGGAGCTACTAACCTGGTGAAGTCTGCCATCAATATGTATAATTGTTTGCTTTTTGGGGGGGGGAATGTACTGATAAACAGGGTTGGTATCGCCATTAATGGGCAAACATACAAATTGTAGAATACTGAACTAAACTATCCGTCCAAACCTTACCGAGCTTTAATATCATCAACGACCCAAGTTGTCTGTTGACTTACTTTGATAACCAAACCCATACCCGTCTTGGAAAGTGAATTGTTTTGAACGAACAAGGATGTTTCTTACATAGTGATATAAACAACCAGTGGATCAGCACTCAACATTAAACCAGCAGCAATACTTGAAGGAACGTGCGATAATATACATATATATATATATATGTATATACATGATTCTAGATATATGATATATGTTTATATTTGTTTGGAATATATATATATATATATTTATATAACAACAATAGGATCATTCACCAACATGACCGGAACTCACTGAGAAGAAGTGTAATGGTGCGATATGACTACAATGGAGACATGGACAAAACTAACAGCACAAGCGCCAAAGTGCAAATCTCAACGAGTCATACAGGGCGAGTGTTTAGAGATTCGTTTCTTAGTGGTTAGGCCAGGTTAGCCCCAAACCATCCAGCTTAGGAAAATCCCCGAATTCTAGATGACATTCCGTTAGAACCTTCATTTATAGGGGCATATAGGGGATTTCCCATTGCCATGTTTGATTACTGTACCGGAGGGTATGCCAAGTTTCTATATTGGCATATAAGACTTGGGATATCCCTGGAACCTAAATTTGGCCATTCTTTTGGAACTTTAGACCACTCACCAAACTTTTGAACACGATTCAAAAGGGGAGTCAAACATTGGTCACATTTTACTGGTTGGTAAATAGGTACTCCTAGTATTGGTTAAAATATGTTCCAATAATCACCAACAAACAACTTCATATATCCCTATAAGACCCCATTAACCACAATTTGCAAATGCCAGGGAGTGTCATCCACAAATGAATTATCCGATTAACTATAATGTGGTCGAGAAACTCTAAGTAGCTCCTAGTCTCCCCATTTGAAAGGGAATTTTAATACCAATCCTGACCACTGGACATTAATACAGCAATTATCCTTAATCATCATTGATCCTCATGATTCCTAATTAAAAAGCATTAATCCGCATCAATTATCATGAATCCTCACTATTCAGCATTCATCATCATTCATCATCAATCACAGATGATTTCTCCATATTTCTCTCATTAAACAAATGGCGGTATCTTGAATCAATGGATTGGTTTAAGAGAAAATCTACAGAAAACCATAGATATTCCAATGAAACCATGATTATTGGGTATAACCACAGATAAACCATAGATAACCATAGATAACCATAGATATTCCAATGATATTATTGGGTTTTCCTCTATGTTTCCCCCCAAAAAAACAATCCATCGATGTGATCATAACATTTTCTATACAGTGATTGGGCCCAAGATACCACTTTGTTGAGTGCTTGTAACACTATCTTATAAGCCCATTTATGGAATGTATAATCCCATGATATCCCATGTATAACCAGTTATAACTACCCTCTGGTAAACTAACATAGCTATTGAAAATGGCCATTTATAGTGGATTTACCCATTAAAAATGGTGATTTTCCATAGCTATGTTAGTTTACCAGAGGGTAGCCATGGCCACAAGTGTAGCTCACCTCCTCAAACTCCGCTGCACCTGCCCAGCACAGAAGACGTGCTGCGCGTCCAACTGCTCGACCTTTCGTACCTGAAGGTGATGGGACTGGTCGACTGCAGCAGGTTGAGCAAAACTTATGGGAAACAAATGGGACACATATCACATATAGGACTTATAGGACATATATATATATATATACATATTATCAATATATAATATGAAAACCATCTGTGAAACATACATAGGAACATACATGTGAAACATTATTGGGAAAATCATCAAAACATGGGTCGGTTTAAGGGAACATCTGCTACATATGGGAAACACAACTGGGACACATGTAGGGGGAATGCATGGTCACATACAGGAAACACATGGTTTTGAGATTATTTTACCCGAAGGGAATGGATTTGACCAACCACAATCATAACATCATTGGAATGATCAAATCATGTCATGAAACTTTAACCAGCAAATAATTATGATCCGCGGGTGTCTGAAAACGGACGATTTACACTCACCTTATGATCTTATGTAACTTATTAGGAATAATCATAGTCAACAATTGAATTTTAGGAGTGGGTGGTTGTCCATACAGTTTACCATAACCTCCGCAAATCAAACGTGGCAATGGATAATCCACAATTTACAGATGATTCTCATTGATTTTCCTTCTAACACCTCCATCTATAGGGGAGAAAATCCATGTCCGCCTTTGATTACCGCATGGTAACCGATGGTGACACCAGCCAGATCCTGACAGCTGATCGCCGTGTGTTCCGGCCTGGACCTCTTGGTGCTTGCCACAAACATGCCTCAGCTGCAAACATCGAATGAAGACCCTACTAGTTTCATCCCAAAACTCATGTGGCTATGGATCAATACCTATTAATACCATTTTTAATGGAATGAACATCCATTTACCAGCTATTTTGATGTTCACCAGGGGTACATGGTTTTGACACACTGCCATGTTTTGCTGGATGTTCATCCCAAAAAAAAACATGGCATGTGTGGTTGACCATCTCGTGGTTGTTCTCCCCAAAAAAATGTCCAAATCCGTGGCAGGAAACCCCCTCAGCCATGTTTGGATACAACCAAAAGACCCAAAGGGGCGATCCCAGTCCGTCTATGTCAGGAGGTTACCAAGCCAGTGACATGGAAAATAACCATGATTCATAACGGTAAATCATTGAACTAAAATGTCATGGCTTCCAAAGCGAACTTTGCCAGAGGGTATACAATGTGTTTCATATTTGAGCATAATAATTTGAGGATTATCGGGAAATAACACGGGTTTGACATCAACAACCTGCCAATTGCCAATCAGTTACAAGGTTCCCAGGTCATAGGGCAACCCCAAATCTCATGCTTAGTTCATCATCATATGATTCACATATTCATATGTTCCATTCAAATTGCATGGGTTCTTCCCGAATAACTGTTGGTCCCAAGTCATTAACTTGACCATACACATATGATACGGGTTTATTAACACTCACCAAGCTGAGGCAGCTGAGAATTAATTCCCATCATCGCTGAATGCTGACGAACAGGGTCAGCATTCAAACCTGACCCATGGTCAGTGCGGATGGTCTTGGGTTTACGACCCATTTTTCATTTTAAGTAATAGGTAAACGTTTACATAGCTATTGAAAATGACCCAGTCAAAATAGTTGATTTACCCATTAATAGCATGGTGATATATGGTGATTTTCCATCGTTTTTTGTATGTTTACCGGAGGGTTTACAGTAGCGGCTATATCTGTCACTCCCAGTTCCATGCTGATCTTGATTTCGCCATGTGGCTTGATGTAGGTCAGAATGGAGGGATCTCCATTGACCAGCACCCCGCTGGTCTCTTTCACCATGACGAGTCAGCCAATGCAGAAATGTTACGTGTGACATCGACTTTCGTAGGTGGCGCCCCAGATCGATAGATAGCTAAGTTGGTTTATAAAATGTTGTAACTGATATATTTTACTAGGTTTTGAGGGAATAACTCGGGGCCACTGCCTTCTATCAGTCTTGCTTATCATGGCTGATCTGTGCCCATTTGCATAGAATGTATGTATAGAATAGTGTAAATAATATACTAGTGTCGTATATTGATATGTATATAATATCTGTATAAATACATGTATATTATATATACTGTATGTGACCGGCTCATTTAGGGAGAGTAACACATTCCATCCTATTTGACCATTCATGGCTGATATTAGTCCCTAACACACCATTCACCAAGTATTCTAAGTGCGATGTGCTGACCGTTGGCACAAACGGCTTCAGTTTGCGATCGAGGTGCTCAAAGGATTTCTTAGCTTAAGCCGTGAAGCACCCGTGACAATGGGTAGAACGAACATGTTGTTTTTTTGTTCCCCTAGAAGTATAAGGAGTATTAAAGAATATATATATAAGTGTATATATACATATATACAGATAGATGTCATATACATGTGTAGATAGGTAGATAGATAGATAGATAGATAGATAGATACATAGATAGATAGGTAGATAGATAGATAGATGGATGGATGGATGGATAGATAGATAGATGGATAGATAGATAGATAGATGGATAGATAGATCGATTAGGTAGGTAGATAGACAAATAGATAGAAAGGATAAACTAATATAACTTGAATAGAATAAACATTTGTTTGGGGGTTAAATTTCATTAGATTAGATAAGGCACGATCATTTAAAATCGCACCAAAAAAATAGATAGATAGACTAGATAGACAGATAGATAGATAGATAGATGGATAGATAGATAGATAGATCGATAGATGGATAGGATAGGATAGGATAGGAGAGGAGAGGAGAGGATAGGATAGGATAAGATAATTTAGATAGATAGTTAGATAGATGGGTAGATAGATAGATCGGTAAATAGATAGATAGATAGATAGATAGATAGATAGATAGATAGATACATAGCTAGATAGAATAGATAGAATAGATAGAATAGTTAAAATAGATAGAATAGATATAATAGATAGAATAGATAGAATAGATAGAATAGATAGAATAGATAGAATAGATAGATAGAATAGAATAGATAGAATAGATAGAATAGATAGAATAAATAGAATAGACAGATTAGATAGATTAGATAGATTAGATTAGATTAGATTACATTAGATTAGATTAGATTAGATCGATAGATAGATAGATAGATCAGATTAGATTAGATTAGATTAGATTAGATTAGAAAGATAGATAGATAGATAGATAGGTAGATAGATAAATAGATAAATAGATAGATCAAAAGATAGATAGATCGATCGATAAGATAGATGGATAGATAGATAGATAGATAGATCAATAGATATATATGTATAGATAGATAGATAGATAGATAGATAAATAGATAGATAGATAGATAGACAGACAGACAGATAAATAGATAGATAGATAGATTAGAAAGATAGATTAGATTAGATTAGATTTGTTTTTTATTAGATTAGATTAGATTAGGTTAGGTTAGATTTAGATTAGATAGATAGAGAGAGATAGATAGATAGATAGAGGGATAGATAGAAAGACAGATTAGATAGATAGACAGATTAGATAGATAGATAGATTAGATAGATAGATAGATAGATAGATAGATAGATAGATAGATAGATAGATAGATAGATAGATAGATAAATAGCTAGCTAGATAGGATAAGAACAGATCAGATAATATAAGACAATATTAGATTAGATTTGATTAGACAAGATAAGATCAGATAGATCAAACTATAGAGGGATAAGAATATAGAGGGATAGGTAGATAGAGAGATAGATAGATGGATAGATAGATAGATATATAGATAGATAGATAGATAGATAGATAAATAGATAGATAGATATATAGATAGATAGATAGATGGATAGATAGATAGATAGATAAATAGATAGATAGATAGGTAGATAGATAGATAGATCGATCGATAGATAGATTAGATTAGATTAGGTTGGATTAGATTAGATTAGATTTGATTATATTAGATTAGATTGATAGATAGATAATCTAGATAGATTAGATTAGATTAGATTAGATTAGATTTAGATTTAGATTTAGATTTAGATTAGATTAGATAGATAGAAAGATACATAGATAGATAGATACATAGATACATATATATATAGAATATATATATATATAGAATATATATATAGATAAATAAATAGTTAGATAGATAGATAGATAGATAAAACATATAAGGATATAAGATAAGTTTCTAAAAAAAACAAAAAACTATAATATTACATTGGATTAGATAGATCTGTAGATAAATAAATAGATAAAGCACATAGATAGATCGATCGATGAGTAGATAGAACATTGGATAAGTAGATAGATGGATAGATTGATATAAATATAAAGACAAATAGATAAATAGATTTATAGATAGACAGAGAGACAAACAGTAAATCGATAGAGATAGACTTGAACAAATGCCAACATATGCGTTCAGAATCTGCAGGTTGAAGGCCAAGGCCCCACAGCAGGGCCCATGGCACGATTGTTTTGAACTGCAAATCCTTGGAAAAATACCCGCGAATGTTGCAGTTATTGGATGCATGAACTTTTTAGGGCTCGGGAAACGCAACACTTGAAAGCGCATCCTGGCATGATGTGTGCCAAACAAATGACCAAGACAACCCGTCCTGGCAGCTCGCAGCTTTCTTTTTTGCACACGGCATTGAATCAATGGCAGTTGAAGCATAGGCGATTTAAATTTCTGGGCAAATTCAACGCTTGTGTTTTGCTCGGGGATGATGAAAACATATGCTTCCAGCTATGGTGAAGTGGGCCAATCACGTTCAAAATTTGCCCAGACATACTTTGGAGGCGGAACTTATAAGTTGGTTTGCACAATGCACTGAATGAAATTCTTCATAAGTTTACTTGTAAGTTCGTGGTACTTGTTTTTGTGTAGTGTTTTAAAAACCGTGTGTGTGATTTGTATTTATTTGTTTTGATTGGAGATGTTATTGAATGATATCTTCTGTGGTTTCTTCTGTACGTTTAGTTGTAACCTTCAACCCGGTTCAACTGGTTCAACTCATAAGTATCTTCACAAACTTGGTTACCGATTTGGAAGTTACACAAAACTTTTGACACCTACAAACGAAATTATATAGCTCCATACCTAGCCAACGAAGATGTTCTAAGCTGTGTAAGTTCAAAACGCCTCCATAGTATGTACCCTCCGGTCATCAAACATGACAATTGAAAATCAATGAACATCCCTATATATGGAGGCTTCAATCGGAAAACAACTATAAATGGTGAATTGTCCATTGCCACGTTTGACTACCAGATTATATGATATATATATACACATCACAGAGCACATCGGCAGCCGGTTGGATCGGCGGGGTAGCCATGACTATGTTCAGTATATTGCAACATGACTATGAGATGTCGTATTATGTTATGTACATACATATTCTATGTGTAGATTCTTATGAATATAATGTATATGATATATGATATATGATATATATATATTATTGTAATGTATTATATTATGGATGTATACAAGTACATACATAATTTCATCATAATTGGTACAGTATACCCTTACATGGAACATAAAGGAACAGGAAACCTCCAGTAAGTCAACTGTCCAAACCTTTCACCTTATACAGCTACCAAGGATTACCAAGGTACCAGTTCATGAATTGTTTTTTTTCACTTGTTGAACCAACCTTTAGATCTTAAACAACAACACATACAGTAGGTGTATATAATTTTGAGTCATTGCCAAGGCAATGATGACAAGGTCTGGGGATGTCTGGGGTTTATCCAATGGACTATCTTTCTTGCCAACTACTGGCAACATGGAGGTTCTACCAACAGAACTTTGGCTACCAACAGTTTCTTGATCATCGATCCAAGCGCTCCTGCTCTTTGAATTGCTAAAAAGCCCCACATGGGTAGTGGCGCTCAATTTTTTTTTTAGGCCAATCCTGGCAGAACGTGGGGGTGAAACTTGGCGTCCTGGAAACCCCAGTGGATTTTTTAGGGAAAACCGCCAAACAATTGGTATTGTATACGGTCAAATTGTCTGGACAAAACCACAGGCAGAGCAAACCGTAACAAACCCTTCAATATGGACCATATTCAAACTTTTCACGGTAAACAAAGTGTGGTTTACTCACAAAGTGGGCGCTGTGTCAACAGGATTATCAAGAACCTTGGTTCACCTCATCCGTGGCACGTGCGAATAGCAATAATATGATGTTGATCCTCTAAAACCTTTACTAGTACCAGTCTTTGCCGAACTCATGGGAGCCAGAATGCTTAGTCCCTATGACTTTCTGAACCAACTATGCTGTCGTGTTGCTGTCGCGATTCGGACATAGCCAGAGTCAAATTGTCATATCGACCAGAGTTGACCCATCCAAAGCCACAACATGCCCCAAATCATGACAGAAACGGGACACCGAACGCACTGTTCCTATCTGTTCCTCCGATCCCGGAAGCCTAAGTTGACAACTCGTGGTCCATACAAATGTCCGGCCTCTCCTGAGTGTGCAAACGGCATTTCTCTGGGTCAAACTTGAAGGTGGCATCAAAGGATATGTACAGGAACCAATATGTTCTTTTGGCCATGGCCATTTCTTTGACTCTATATCGACTCATGTGAAATGGTGAGTGTTGGGTGTCCCAAAGTACTGAATTTCACGCGCCTGGTGGTGGAGCCAACTCATCCAATAAACATGAAAGTCGCGACTGGGATATCATGATATCATCAGAATCGATTTGAAACAAACTCGAAGCATAAACAATAGAAACATGTAGAAACTATCAACCAGCAACATAATCAACATGTTGTACTGAAATTTCCTGGACATTACACATATCTGAAATATATTGAACCCATCTGAACTTACCAAACAGCCGCAATGTCATGCAATTTGGACAAATTGGGATTTTCTGCCACTGAAAATCGGGTGTTCCCAAAATATGGCTATTTGATGCTCATGTAATGGTGAATTTGATGATACACTAGGGTACCGTATTTTCAAACAAACCCACATGTTGGGAAGTAGATGAAGTAAAACGAGTACAATCTGTGGGCCAGGGTTCCAAGTCTTGGAGACGCCAACCGCATGCCAATTTGTTCCGTACAAGACAACCCAAGGATTTTGGCCTTTGCTTCCCCAATTTTGTGGCAACACCCGCACTGAGATACACGATCTAGAGCTACTTGCCCTTCTTTAATTTTCGCCTGGTTCTCAGAGGGGCAATCTACCTCCATAAAAGCATAGCTCACAACCGGGCTACTGTATATGATGTATATGTCTTGTCATGTTTTCTCAGTTGTTCTGCTTTGGACCTTGGTTTCGAACATCTCAATACTCAGTGACACCCAGTTCCGGCGCCGAGGCGCCAATTTCAGGCCATACTTCTCCATCGCCCCCGTGACCACGTCCGGGGATATCTTCTGTTGCCTGGAGGGAAGATCTAAACTGGCTTCATCCGACTTCAAGGGAAACGTTAAGGTGATTGAGCTGATTAAGCATCAAATCTGGATGACTAAGCATCAATATCTGGATTAGTAACATTCATTAACAAACCATCAAATCTGGAGCTATACTCTATTATTCCTTATTTTCAGACAGACCCAGCTGCAGTTTCACGACCTGCAGATCCAAATACATTGGGTACTTGAATCCCTATGGCCATCTATTGCTGGGAGGCAATATCAATCTATATTATATGTTCTCTGGCAATCAAACCACACAATGGCAAATCCAGATTTGGGATTGGGAAATCATCTATAGATGTTCAAGGTGATTGTTCATTCTTTTCTATGACCATGTTAGTTTGTCAAAGTACATCCTCAGTTTTGTTGGTCAAATCAAAGTCAGTGATTGCGTGATTGGCAAACGCAAACGCTCCCTGAAAAGGGGATAGCTACCCGTAGCTCCTAACCTCCACCACTGGGTCAAAAAACTCGAGCACCTGGGTCACCTGAGTTTCGAAACCATGAACCACCTGGATTTTATATAATTTTTTATGGGTTCATTCACCGAATCAACCCCTATGAGTCAGGCTTCCCAAAGACCTGCCGCGTGCGGGCGCCACATTTTTGGTCTGCCGCGAGGTGAGCGGCAACCCAGGATGCCTTGGGTAGCCCCAAGTCTAGCCGAGGAGCGGAGTCGAGCCTCGTCATCAAACATGGCGAACGGATGCGAACGGGAAAACCCACATGGCGAATGGAGTTTTTCTATGGCAAAGTTGTCGAACTCAATGGCGGCTCTGAAGTAACGCTTTTTTAGGACACTTGAGAAATACCGCAACAAAGGAAGGGATTTTCCATCTCCAGCACCCCGGCCCCCCACCTCCCTGCCTCGCTAAAAATCACAGCCTTCGCAGTTCTGAGCTTCTGGGTGGGACCACAGCCTGGTGTATTCTGGCGACAGTCTATGGATAATTGCTCTGTCATATTATATAATCATGTGTATAAATACATTGATCATAATTGTATGGGTCATGGGTCAAATGAGGTAATTACCGAGGAGACTATGTCGAAATTTTGATGATTCTCTTGGTACTTCTATATTTATATTTTTATTTTTAAATGTATATATATATATATGTAAATATGGTCATCCTGGAATAGGATATGGAATTGTCAGAGAATCATTACTAAAGTACGGAAATCCATGCACAAGTCCAGATTCTATCTAACTTCTGGATAATTGTATGCACTTGTATACATATATATATATATACATTTTTTAAAAATATATATATATATGTCCACGTACATCTAAATAAAACATGTGTATATCAGAAGTAAACATATATAGTATAGTAATATTGAGATGTAGTGTCTAATATTTCGGACCAAGATGTAAGTTGGAAATTTGCGAAATTGGGCACAACTAACGATCACACAACTTGACGTATACAACGCCTCAAATTATAACCTGTGCACAAATAACACGATATATAAACGGCAAATGCCTGGGCTTTAATGCCCGGAACCGCAACCACGACAGGCGACGCATCATCATCATCATCATCATCATCATCATCATCACCAAACCCTTATTGAAGATCTTCAATGAATGTAAAGTTTCACGGGGGTGGGAGAATTAAACCCTTATTGAAGATCTTCAATGAATGCAGAAGTTCAACGGGGGTGGGAGAATTAATGAATGTAAAGTTTAACGGGGGTGGGAGAATTAAACCCTTAATTCTGAAGATCTTCAATGAATGTAAAGTTTAACGGCGGTGGGACTTTAATATTCCCTAATACCTTTGTTGATCTTCCCAATTGAATGTAAAGTTTAACGGTGGATTGAATGTAGAGTTTAACAGGGGTGGGATTTTAATATTTCCTAATACTTTTGTTGATCTTCCCTATGGAATGCAGAGTTGCAGCAACATTTGATTGGGAATGGGGGCCCTCTACGCTGCAACGTCTGGGCAAAGCCCAGGCGTTGCGCGTATATATATATATATATCCACATCCACATACTATGTACTGCACAAGAATGGCCCCTCAGAATGTTGGTTGGTTTGTAATCCCATGAACTATAGTATATATTATGTTATATTTTTATATATGTTCACTATAAACCCCAGGGGAATACGTAAACAGGGGCCAAACGTCCATCTCGGCTTCCTAGAAGTTCATGGGTCTCATCATGATTCAGCACTGGCATATCATAGTTACATCCTTATGGATCCATACAGGCGAATGGGGCATATATATATATATATATGATTTATATAGCGAATGTAACACCATATAAAATGCTAAGGCGTCAAAATGTCTTCTCCTTAAAACACAAATCTCTTAGGGGATTAACAACGTATTTGACCATTTCACAACCAAGTTCTTCATATGTTTTAAACATCAAATAATGTTTTTGCGGACCTATCTTCAACGCCCCAACCTTCGATTTTAACTAAACGTCTTTCCTTTCTACTTTAAAGATTTCGAAGAGATTTTCCCAGTTCCATGGATTTAGAAATATGGTTAGGTATGGTTAGGTTCCGTGTTTGTTGGCTAAATCCCCATGGGACATCCTGAACTGGGACCACTCTTTCCTCATATTGTCCCTCGCCTTGGCCCCGTCTCCATCCTCCGTTAGGAAGCTATGTTGCCTTGGGAGGGTGGACTTTGCGCAACGCATTTCTTGGGAATTCCACGGAAAACCGTCTGAAAACCATGATTTTTCAGTTGTATACCAGAGATCTCATGTGGGGTTGGAACTGAAAGAAGCATTTAGAGCTCAAAATTTTGAGGGGTTCCGCCAGTATTGGAGAACAGTTTTGTAGTTTCACTATGAGCCACAACGGGTGTCTAATCCAGTTGATACAGTATAGCAACCCCGGAAGAAAATAAAACAAACAGAACAATGAAATCCAGGCAAATCAATCATAAACCCATAGGATCCATGGTGCTGGTATATATGCTAACATTTGGGGTATATTGATGGTAAATGTTACCATATATAGCATACATGGACCCTATGGGAAATAGCTCCATGTTTCTGTTTTTTCACGTGTTTTTTACAGCATTTTTCCTCAACGCACGGCCATTCACTGGCCCAGGCTGGCTCAGCGGCAATGCTTCTGCTGCAGTGATGCGATCCATGGGATCCAACCTGGGCTGAATCAACCATCAAAATCGGGAGATTTTCTCCCGATGTTCAGAAGAAAACCCAAAGTCTACCCTCTGATAATTTTATGTGACTTAATGGGATTTTAATGGAATGTGATGGGATTATCATCCACTTAATGGGATATACCCTCTGGTAAAGATACAAAAACATATGGAACATCACCATGCTATTACTGGATAAATCATGATAAATCCACTATTTCGACTGGGCCATTTTCAATAGCTATGTAAACGTTTACCAGGCCGGGTAGACTTTGGGTAGACTGCACACCAGTTCAGAACTGGTGTTTTTCGGTCGGATAAGCCATGAGCCCAACATGGGATCCCTGGGTGATACATCATGCACCAAGCCCTAGTGGTGGCTTACATTAATAAACAATACCCTCTGGTAATTTAAAATAGCTATTGAAAATTGCCATTTATAGTGAGTTTTCCCATTGAAAATGGTAATTTTCCATAGTTATGTTAGTTTACCAGAGGGTAAGCTGATGAAATTGACTCACCCTCCGGTAATCAAACATGGCTTCCTGGAAAACCCTCCATTTATAGATGGTTCTCCCGCTGAAACTTCTATTTATAGGGGGGTTTTCCATTGCCAAGTTTGATTACCAGATGGTATTGAACCTATATTCCGTTAATATCCGGTTCATATCTTATTAAAATACCATTCATATTCCATGATCTATTCCCATGATATCCCTACTATATATCCCCATTAATAACGAATATGGACATATTATGGGGATATAAATGGTTCATATTCCACTCATATTCCCATTTACTGTATATCTCATTGATATCTCATATTCCATTAATCACTATTCCATTTATATTCCGTTCATATTCCATTCATATTCCATTCATATTCATCTCCATGATATCCCCATAGATGGTAAATTAGATAGCCCTAAAACTAGATGGTTCATACTCCCTATGGATCCAAACACTGTCTGAGAAGGTACTTAAGTACTTAACCCTCCAAATTATACCCCAAACACTTCCTAAGAAGGTACTTGGATCCATAGGGATGGTTCATACTAAAATACATTACAATCTGCGGTCCCATGGGTCTTTGCGCTCTCCAAGCGACGCCAACATCTTCTGCAGGAGATCCGCACACGCAGCCGAGGCTGCGCTCGCTGCGCCCGCTGGGCCGCCAGCCTTGGAGGGGATTAAATCTTGTGGAGAAACCATAGCCTGGCCCTGAACACTTAGAAAATGGTGCTTAAATGATGATTAAATTATAAGTAATAGTGGTGAAATGATTAATAGTGGTTAAATGATTATTAATAGTGGTTAGCAATGGTCAATACTGATGATGTTTGTTGATTAGCGATGATTTTTATAGTGGTGTATAACTGTACAACATCCAATAAGAAACCATCTTCAGGTGGCTCCCAGGGGCTGCTCAACCCCGGTTGGTTGATGATTCAGGGAGCTTGACCAGGAACCAACAAAAAAACGGGGAATATCATAATAATCCATGAGCTTCTACGAATCCCGATCAACTCACCAGTATCATAATCCACGGGGTTTGGTTTACAACGCCCAATTTTTTGGTGGTTTATGATATGCTTATGATCTTATGAACATTCACTTGGGTGTACCCCCAAAAATAAGACGATTGTACCCTCAAAATAGTGAAGGGGCGGGTTTATTATCATTATGGATCCGGAATTGACTGGCAACTCTGATTAATAATTATAAGATTGATCATCACGTTCACCAGTAGAATTGCTGTTTTGAGTATACACCACCCCATCTCTGGAATAAGACAGATACTAGTTCATGCTTCCTGGGACAAAATGATTTATAACTAGTGGGGGGCTCACGAAAGAATGGATCATTAACATACCATAAAATGCCTATCGACGAAAAACGGTAGTTTCTGGATCTGAAAGACATATGTATGTATGTAGATGTAATAGCCATACACTAAGCTGTTGCCATTCACATATTGAAGAACTTGGTTCTTCTGCTTCTATGGTTCACGATTACTATTTTCCTGATTTTTTGAGCAAACAACTTATGACACATATATATATAATATGCTTATGTGACATATATGACTTATATGTATACTTATGGGATATATATATATATATAGAACTCAAAACATCCGGGAAAAAAAACAACATGAAACCACGAAGCCTAGTTCTGCTTGTAAGCAGATCTGAAAAATGGTTTGCCATGCCAGGGAACCAGTTTCAGCCAGCTTGCCAACTGCGGCGCCGCTCCCTGCCATTCTCAGGGTCCAGCTACTGGCCCTGTGGTGAAAAAGCCACAAATTTCAACGTTGTTAATGCCAGCCCCCTGATATTTCATAGGGGCTTAACCGTGCAAAATGATTCCAGAATTGGGTTTTGGCATGGTTTATATAACATCCCCCTATGGCTTTGCCAATAATTTCATAGACGTGTGATGATATGTGGGCCTATGGAATAACTTTCCAACATACTATCTCTATGAAATGCTTGGCCAACATAGACTACGTGCCCCGCGGCTCACCCTGATTTCTGGGAAATTCAGCCCCTCTATAAAATGATATGACAAACATACAAGAAAAACATATAACCTACAGTAACATTCAGCCTCTCTATAAAATTATATGCTCACATATAACAGGGATGTCTGGCCGAGAACAGCACCTCTCTAAAATGAAACAGTCAACATGATGCCAAGAGAACCTGTGCCTATAGAGCACAAAGGACATCTATTAAAAAAAAAACATGGACATGCTATGGGGATATAGAGCAAAAGCAAATGTGACATTAATGACCGCCCAATAAGGGCCCCCTCAAATGAATCAATCCAATATCTTAAATACCCAAAAAATGCTGCCGAATGGCGGGATGGAAGCTTGGTTTCCGCTAAACATTGGCTATTTTCAGGGTCAAACTGTTCTATAATTTTGGGGAGCGTATATCATGAATGTGATTAAAGCAATAGTAAACCATCCCCAAAATCACCATAAATGACTGGTATTAAACCATCAAAATATGGGTGGTTTATTCTTCCCTCAACAAGTCGATGACACCCCCAACCATCAGCCTGTGCATTCTCAGCAGCCCGGCGCATGCGCAGGTCCTGGCACATACTACGCAAGAACGGATTTCCTAAAATGAATCCTTATAATCATTACTCATCTATACCCATAGGATCCATGTATGGTATATATGCTAACATTTACCATCAACATACCCCATATGTTAGCATATATACCATACATGGGTCCCCTAGGATACAATCATTAATCATCTATAGGTACCAGGATCATTGGGGATCCTTTTTCCTCGATGGATCAATACTGTGGATGGGCCAGCGAAATCCTGGGCTAAGGAACACCATCCTTTTGGCGCCATCCACCGTATGTTGGGCACCTAATGTATCCATCTAAATCCTGCATCCCGGAGAAAGCTGGGTCAAAATGAATCACCTGAAGCAAGACGTTTCTGTACTTATTTGGTTTACATGACTGATGTTGCACGGACAACATATAATACAAACAATTATAACAATAATGATAAACACAATAATAATTTAATAATGAAAAAAAACAATCAAAAATAATAATATAAATAATAACAATAATAATGATAATAATAATAATAATTACGAAGAATTCATCCCCACTTTTTAGCCACTGGCCATCGCCCATCGATCGCCGCCCCAGCTATGGCACATTGGAACGCCACGCCTGCGCTGCACCCAGCAGACGCGCGGGAAAGGGACCGCAGGCAGCCGTCATCAAACGGACAAGCTCCTGCGAAGCGATTCTCCACTTAAGGGAAGCTTCATCAAGAAATCTGGCGATGCGAACCACCTGGGGAATGTTGAAATCAGCTACAAACAGGGAATAATACGTGAATAATCATGAATATACCATCAGTTGTTAGTGGCTGAGCCAAACATTTAGGCAAATCCATGAGTTAGATTGAGTTAATCCATTTAGTTCATTTGGGATCGTGATTCCAATTCTTGGAATGGAGATGTTTATATATTTTGCACCACCAAGCAGATCATATTCCAAGGTAAGAGACACATGAAGCTGGATCAAAATAGGCTGGCATGATGCTGTGATGACCAATCGATCTAGTTCCAAGCTGGGAATGGTGGTAATATTTTCTTGCAAAATCATACATATGACGTGTCAACCATTTCAATCACATGTACTTTTCATTGGTATCTTTTGGTTTGTGTTCATGCTGTGCTTCGTGCAAGCCCTGGTTAAAACATGTTCACATGTTAAAACCGAAGGGCCAAAACATACAGCTGGGCTATGAACAAAGCCGTTTGAAATCGATTAAATTGATGTTTTTTTCCTTGGCAGGATCGTTCAGCGACTGGGACATACAGCAGTTCCATCTATAATAATATAAACGCGGCTTTTCTCTTCCCCAACTCCATGTGGGTCTGTTTTCATATCCATTTTCATATATTCAAACAAACATATATATATATAATATATATATATATATATATATAAACATTCACCGGTTCATCACCAAATACCCAAATTTCCCATTGAATCCACTGGTAGCCACGGTAGCCATCGAATGGGGGGTCTGCCCTTGTTGGGTCTGAGGCAATACCACATTCCATTCCACTCGTCAATCATCATGTTCCCTACTAACATTCCAATGTTTATAATGTTTGGGGAAACCACATGTTCAGTCATTTTCATAAACACCTATAGACCTATAGGACCACCATCGTTGGTTGTATATCCCGCTGTCTCCATATCTTTCCGAATGAAATGCCCATCATGGTCAAAGCACCATTTTGTCAAACCAACGCCTATTCTGAATCAACCCCATTTCTGGCACCACACCCAAATTCCTGCGGATCGTGTGAGTTGAAGACTAGCTGGCCAGAGACCAAGAAGCAGCCGGTGACACCCAAGGTCCAAATGTCACTGGGCGGCCCCCAACCTGCGAAGGTCCCAAGTTTCGGAACGCGTGGCCGCCACTGCAAGACAAGTGATGCCACGCTGTAGCGGGTCCAGTGGTAGGACTTGTACACGTCTCCATGTGTGTGTGTATGTATATATATATTATATTATTATTGATTATTAAATTATACATTGTTTATCGTGTATATGTGTTTATGATCTTTCATGGTGTTGCCGACATTTTTGGTGTTCCTTTTTTGAGGGGAACATGTACTGTAGGATACATTTTCGCTTCTCAAACCTTGGTGCGGATAGGCCCACATCAAACACATCAAACAACGAGTATTTAATGAAGACATGTGAAAACATGTGACCCATCTCAAGGATCCCCAGCAGACTACCCAACTAGATGTCTACATTTTCTTGTCTAACCAGATGTCTACATTTTCGTGGTGCCAGGTGAAAATGAATGGTGTCCTGCTTCCCAACAAGATGTCTGGCACCACGATGTCCATGATGAAACCCGGCCGGCTCCGCCGTCCGCCTTCTCGGACATTCAGCAGCACTTCCGGTGCACGGAACCTGGAGATATTTCGTCATGTCGTAGACCCAGAAACTCAGTGGATTGAATGTGAGTTTTGGGTAAGACTATATTATATAATTAAGTAAAACAAACCCATGAAAGTCATTTATTTTCATTAGACCCCATGCTTAGTTAGTCTGAAAAACCCAACTGTACCATTTCAGCGGAGTATGAAAAGCCATATCCCCATAAAGGGATTTATTTTGAAGTGCACCACATTGTTGAAACAGAGATAAGACTCGGCACTTCCCAAGATCCCGAAATAATTTCACGAGAACGCACTTGTTCTGACAATGTGAAACTCTGCGTCCCCGCCTTAAATGCAGTGATGTGCTTTAAAATCCAAGAATCTCTGCAACATATGTCAATGATTGCAAGCAGCAAAAGTGTATTGAGTCTGTGTTCATTCGCAAACTTGTATTGCACACGTAGAAAATATGATTAAACACACAGCTTCATAGGCTCAGCACCAAACAATTGATGATTAGATGTATGTACATATGTCATAATATTCTAGTTTCAAAAATCAATAATGTTATATATGTTATACTCGTTCATTTTTTCCACCAGGAAAAATGGTCACTTTTTCATTCATTGTCAAACAAATTATCAACAAATGGACAATGGACCGTCTATATACAAAAAAAAAACAAACATTACAATTTCCACAATGGATTAAACATTTTTGGGTTAGATGAGTACATATATATACACACTATACATATCTATTTCAACCATATATCAGCCATAATATAGACCAAAAAAAACATAGCATCCAACTTAGTACAGTAAGTCTAAGTGTCTTTTAATCCAAATACCTTCTGGTAAATTAACATAGCTATGGAGAATCACCATCTTTAATAGGTAAATCAACTATAAATGGGCCATGTTCAATAGCTATGTTAAATTACCAGAGGGTATGCCATATAGAACTGGGGATCCTCCATGCTTAGCCCAGCTGCTGCTTGGTGTGGATGGGATGTGGCCTTGGCTTTGGTGCGGATTCCTCCCAGGTATATACCCTATGGATCCAAACACTGTCTGAGAAGGTACTTAACCTTGGGACACCACCTTGTGAGCGCCGGGAAAGGTAACCCAGGTAGTCACAGCGGGTTCGACTTCTCCATCTTTGCATTGGTTGAACCGTTTTGTCCTGTTTTCGACTTTTCCAAATCCATAGAAAATTCCAATTTTCGATCGCCCAACTGCTAAGTTCAACGAAAAATCATTGAAACATCATCATTATCTCCAGATTATGTCCCCATCTTTCCTAGTTAAATCCCCAGCTGAGTTCATATACGGTATCTTAACATATCCTCATAATATGATATGGCTATGAGTCATAACCCTGGTACCTAGTGAACCACAAAACAGCTGGTAAATGGATGTTCATCCCATTAAAATTGATACTAATAGGTTTTGACCCATCCCCATATCATCATTCAATATCCCTATTCAAATGTCCCCCATCTTTATCCATTTTTCAGAGTGAAATCGGCCAATGGGTCCCAGACTTCTTGTCGCCCTCAAAGACGGCGTTGCCATAATCGATGAATTTGGCCATGGGCTCTGTGAAGATCATCCTGAGGCTTTATACCACCCATTGGTGATATAGATCCATCATTATAACCCATTTTTGAATATCATATAGAAGTCATGGATATTTATGGATCTGTATAAGAATGCTGATCATATTGCAGTGGTCACTTGGGTTTATGATGCTTTACGCTATACCGTATTACAGTACCATAGTCATCTGGATTTCCACTCGGACCAGGTCTGAAATATATGGGGGTTCCATAAATGGAGGTGCCCCAAAAGCTGGAAATTGTTGAGTTCATGGAAAATCCCCCAAAAAATGGATGATAACTAGGGGTACCACCATGACTTAGGAAAATCCATACATCCAAACACTGAAACAACATCCTTCAGAACCTCATTATCCCCTACAACACTATACCATTTGGTATACGCATCCCCTTTTCTTCAGTCACACAAACATCAAAAATGCTGGACAAATTGTTGGTTGTATATCTCATGTAATAAATATATACATCCATATATAAATCCCCTCACATTATCTCTAATATATGTCATATATAAATCCCCACATGAGACTCCTCTATCAAAAAAAACACATATATAATAAAAATCCCCTCATATATTCTTGGCTTACTTTGCTGAGGTCGGCTCGGCCATTCGGGGATGGCTCGCGGCCCTCGTGACGGAGCGGCCATGAGGCCATGACATATATCATCCAGATATATTGGGGGTATGCTACAGAATAATCAGAGTATAGATGAACATACAATCTTGTGTATATATATATTATAGTATATATATTATATTATATTATATTATATTAAATTATATTATATTATATTGTATTATATTATATTATATTTTATTATATTATATTATATTATATTATACTATACTATATTATATTATATTATATATATTATTATATATATATATATTACTTTTATATTATATATATAGCTGACTTCATCATGAAATCCCCCAAAAATATCATAAAATATCCAGATTTAACCATTATATCATATCCCCATTGAATCTACGCATAAAATCACCATTGAATCTCCGATTCTCTCCCCCATCTGCAGCGAGGTCTCGTAGGTCCATCAGCCGACGTGGCCAGGTAGTATTCCTAGCCCCGTAGAGGACGGCTATGGAAACCCAACGCCATTCACCACCGCGGGGCAGGTTTACAGCCATAAAGATGGTGAATTTGGGGATGATTTATTGGGTTTAAGTTTAAGTTTACCAGATTTTGCTGAGGATGAACACTGGGCAATTCTATAGAGGTATTTTGCCAGCCAAAAAAATAGCCAGCCAAAAATCATCAGTCATGTATTTTTCTTGTCTGATTTTGCTCTTTCACCAGTCCTGGAGTCCTGGTCTATGCTAAAACCACTGTATCTCAAAAAGACACGTTCTTGAACTTAGCTATTGGTAATGATACCAATATCTTTATCCATAGGTCCATAACCAAAAATATTTCACCAGTCCTCCGGTCCTCAAAGTTATTGGCAAGTAATGACTGGATGCAACTATGAATTAGAAGAAATGGAGATTTTGGATGAACACATTTTGGAAGTCTCGGGATAGACACAGGGAATAAATATTTGAATGTTCATGAATGTTCCCATAGTCTATCATTAGATGATGGGCTAGGAATTGTGACTTCTGTATATCTCTGTACTCCTGTACAGTACCAGAAAACACACTACAGGTTCGAACAAAGACATTGTCTAATTATGAGTTCATCCGCACTAGTCACGACGCAATGCAGCTGAAGTGTTCAGTTGGCAAGTCCAGCATCTTAATCATGGAATGCAATGGGACCTCAAAAACAGCCAGATATGGAGGTTTCCCAAAAACGGGGTATCCCCAGTTATCATCAATTGTTGTAGGATGTTCCATGAAATAAACCATCCAGCTACTGGGGTAGCATTTCAGGAAACTCGCCGCTTGATCTTTCCGAGAGGCGGTGTTGACCAGGCAGCAGTTTTTGTGTTTGATGTCCGTGTGCGTGCAACCCAGCTCCTGGGGCGCTGTCATCATCGATTCAGGGTTTTTCACATATTCTGACCATGATTTGTTGGGTCGAAACTGATGTCGCCCTATCTTTCAAAAAAAAACAAATCCACTTGATGGCTTCTAATCTTAAGGAAACAATGCTGGTAGAACCTATATATAGGGACCCATCAGTTGTCTCCGCAAGGCCTATGGCCTGTTGAATGGCAGCTCCACAGGGAAGTTTGAATGATACATTTTAAGGCCATCATACTGATCTGATTGGCGGTTCCAGAATCCGATAATATGTTTGTGACTGGGATAACATGATTCCCATCAACGTGATAGCTTCCCCCACACGAAGCATACCAAGCATCATGGTGCTGTTGGAGAAAAATCTGGAAATAGTTTACTAAAACAAGAAAAACAACAGCTGTTTTGTACCCCAATCCTAACCATTCAATCGCATTCAATCGTGACGTCGCGTGTGTTATTTGCAGCATGACTTAGCAAGTTAAACTTGAACACATACACACAGGAAACAGGAACCCCATGGTATCCCATTATTTAGTTTCATTAACATAAACCATCATACACCCTATAGGTGAAACATGAGTTCTCTGAACAGCAAAAACGAAAACTCCGAACCGGGGCCTGAAGCACCTTGAGCTGCTCCAGGAGCTGCCTCAGTAAGATCCTCACCATAGAGAGGTGCAATCCACGGCTTCGGTTGGCCTTGACAGCGTCAAAGAGCGAGGCATCCAGCCATTCCTTGGGGATTGGCACTTCTGGTGGCAAGTGTTATGTTGGGCAGAAACGTAGGGTTAAGAAAGGTTCACAGAAATTCAAGGTGGGAAAAACAATGGAAAAACTCGAGGAATTCAAGGTGGGGAAAACTAGAAGACAACCAATTCCAGACGGAAACCCTACGGAAACCTTGAATATTTGAGATGTATCAAAATCCATCATAGGCCGTCCTCCAGATATGTAGCATATAGGAATCCGGGGATGCATTGCATTCCCAGCAGTTAAACTGGTACGCAGGTCACGGTGAGTCCCAACAGTTTGATGCAAATCGCAGCACAGCTATAGTGAATTTAGATGAACTTAGGACCGAACCATATGGTCTCAGAATATCTCAGAATGGGCCATCCCAAAATCTCAGTCGGTCATTGGTTTCCACCGCTTTCCTCATTTAAATTGCCATACTTGTGCCATCGCTTTTGCTTTTTTTTGGTCGATGCTATTGGGGCGGCCGCATTTATGCTTGCATCTCATTTCGCATCCAATCTGTGTTGAACACTGCGAGATCACCAATCTTTTTCATCACTCAACAAGTGAAAAAGGCCCTGAGTTGAGGATATGAGCAGTGTTCAAAACTGTGAACAAAACCCTCTGCTGGCCCCTTTATATTGGCTGGTAAATCGGATTTCCTATAATGGATTGTGATCATCGCCAATATATTGGATAGTGTATAAGCATGTGTATATATATAATTATATATATATAAGCCCATATACCCAACCAACAGGGGTTTTGAACACTGCTCATTTCTTGAAGCTGTTTTGAGCTCGTCACCAAGATCCAGGTTTCTGTTTTCCCAAACCCCCTTCAGCCAAAAGGGCCAGGATTAAACACCAATACTCCTGGCGTAGGGGGCTCGAATCGGCATGGGAATGGGTCATGAGTTTGTGTATCCTATGGTATCCTACAGTTGTGGCCATTTATTGTATAGTTATAACTTGTTATTTCTATGGGATTATACATTCCATAAATGGGGTTATAAGATTTATAAGATTTATAAGTACTTATAACATCTTATAACTTGTATTTCGGGCAAAAAACAAATAGGACGGTGTCGGTCTGAGTGAAAACACAAATCTTTGATCCTCCCCCAGTTCGGAACGATGTTGCTATCTCTCAAAAATTGAGTCCCCCAAACCACATAATTCATCCCAATTTTCACCGTATTTCAATTGCCATCACTTGGTGGCGAAGTGGGTCCAGGACCAGGAAATGGAGACCCAAGGATCCGAGTTTGCGTTGATGGGTCATTTGGAGTATTTAGTAATTATTAATTATATATTTATTAATTGCATTTAATTGTCAAATTCGTTCAAATTCTACAGATTCTTTTGAGTATACCCAATTCTCATTACCCATGCAATAACCGAACTTTTCAAAAAAACTCGGATTTTCGTCGACCAAATTTTG